CTTCAGTGTGGACAACTTTCCCACTGTTAGCAGTTTGTCCAGTGGCGCGGACTTGAGACGCAGAGAGGAGTTGACCACGACGACGGGGTTCAAGTCCGGCGAAGAACGGTTCCAGAAAGCAGGTAAGACAAAAGCCAAAATAAAAATGAACAAGAAAAATAACAGGGTGAAAATGTAATAAAATCTGAAAATGTGGTAAAAATCAGGCAAGAGCTTTTCTTTTTCTGGATTGCTTTTGAAAACACTATTAGCTGAGTTTAGGGAAGGAGGAGGGTGGGTCGGTCAGTCAGTTGACTAGGTGGATTGATGTGAGAACAGCAGGTGTGAATGGCATTCGAAAGAGAAATTTGAGATCTGAAAAAGTGTACACAGTGCCTCTGGTGAATTCACGAAAACAAAGACTGCAAAAAAAAAAAAAAAAAACATAGCACCTGAGGCGTTTTTGGCGCTCTCCAGAAATGTATATAGCGGTAAGTTTTCAGAATGAGCCTGGGATGAAAAGTAATGCAGCATGTAACATAAAACTCAAACATATTGTACATTACTGATAAAGAAAATAAACTAAAATGAACCAGTAATGTCAACAAAAAAGCATAGAAAGTAAAGAAAATGTACAGGAAATTGTGGGAATAGGAATTGACGGTTATTTGCTGTACATATTGAGGAAACTTATCATTAATAGATTTTTACTGTAGCATTTCTACAGGTTTTTTTTACAGTTGAAAATCACTGACATTTTTTACAGTGCGTCCCCAAAAACATTAGGTGGAGATGTCAATGTTAACGCTCCCTTAATTACATTTGAAACAGCTCCACTTTCACCTGATTCATTCAGTGCAAGAATGTGATGGAGGAAAACCAAATACTGTCATTTTCAATGTGATCTTACTAATATGATAATGGGATCATATTCCATTGCCTAAGTGCTCTGTCTCTTTAATTTGAAATAGCCCTCCATCATAGTGTAGGGTCTGTCAGAAAGATGCACGTTCACATCAAGTGTAGACTGAATTAGAGCTAGTGCACTACAACTTATTTATGTCTGTAAAGCAAACTAAATGTCACACTTGCTTTCCCAGGTTTGCTTTCTAATGTTAATGTTTTTACATTTGGATTCACACCCACCTATATAGTAAACAACTAGGAGGATCTGAGTTGATTGAAATTGCTTGAAATTGCACACTAATATATATATATATATATATATATATATATATATATATATATATATATATATATATATATATATATATATATATATATATATATAGCTGCTTTTATAAACTACTTGTTTAAAATTAGCTGAAACAACACCGTTATTGAGATGGCTTTGGGACAAGTTATTTGTTTTAATTTCAATACACTTAAATAAAAATAAAAAAACACACAAACAATTAAGAAAACATAATAATTTAGTGTTGGGGAAAATGCTGATTTCCACACAATTCCTCCATGTGTTCCCAATTTGATTAAGTTAACACAAATTTAAGTGGATTGATCGTAAAACAATTAAGTTGACCCCCCAAAAATACATAAGAGTTGTGTTGATTTACCTCATTTTAAATAAGTAGTTTGAACAAGCAGCAAAAGTAATTGTTTCCGAGTGTATACAGTGTACTTAAATCATTTTAAATCACTAGAAACCAGAACATTTGAAGAACATAAGTGTTATTAATAGATACTAACACAAAAGTACGATACACCTTTGACACCAAACTGTAAACTAATATCCAGTTATATACAGTACACTCCAAAAAATGATTACTGCTGCTTGTTCAAACTACCAGTTTAAATGAGCTGAAACAATACAATTTTTGTCATTTCTTTGGTCAGTTTATTTGTTTTATGTTAAGGTCAGTCTAATTTGTGAACCTTTAAGTTAAAGTATGCGTTTTGTGTTGCCACAACGTGAAATAATTGTGATGGTCCAACTACCTGGTTAGTGGATTTGTAGTTCCCAGCATGCTTTGTGTGGGATTGATTTAAGAGAGGGGAATATTGACAATAAAGGTAATCTTAGGTGTTTAAAGGTAATAGAAAGACTTAGAGTTTGAGTTGGAAGATGCAAAAGATGTTCGTACTTTGAGTTTTGAGATTATCACCTTGCAGAAGCAGCCATGCTTTGAGTGTTGGCAGCTTAATTAGCAAAACTGCAGATTGTTGCTTTGCTCAGTGAGCAATAACTATCCTAAAATTAGTTCTGAGATCAGTCTCAATAATTTACTGAAAAATATTCATAATTTGCTGTATTTACTACATTTTTTTTAGTTAAGTGATTGTAAACAATTTATTAGGGCTGAATTTAAACAAATAAATTAGGTTAAACAGTACTACATTTAATTAGTTTATTTAAATTCAACACATACATTTTTGCAGACATAATTTTTTTCTGTGTATGTAACTCATAAAATATGCTTTAAATCACTTCTTTTAGTTCATTTAGGAAAACTTTAAAATAAAACTATATGAGACTTTGAAATGTACGACACATAATAGACACGCATGATATTATCAGACCTTTGAGTTTAAGTTAAATAAAAGTACAAATGTATTTCAACCTTTATTTGATAAAATCATGTCGGACTAACTTGATTGCATTTAATTGTGTAAATTGTTTTTTTTAGTTGGTGCTACACAAATTGAATGGAAATCCTGTCCTCAATTAAATAGGGTGTATGCACATGGACTTTTAATTTCAGTCAGCCAGCCAGGGCTTCCGGTTAATTGTCATCCCATACAAAATTGCCACTTTAAAATATGATTCACTGCCAGGCTGAGATACAATATAAAGTTGGTATCAGACCAAACAAGAAGCACAACGATAAGTTATATTTTTCCGCTTTATGTCTTTAAAATATGGAAATTAATTTTGACCCAGTATTTTCAATGGTATTTCTGCAATAGCCTGCCGCTAATGACGGCAACTGCGTTCAAACGGTCTTTCGTCTCATGTTAAGTTTTAACAACCAAATGAAAGCTTAAGTCTATAACTGATTGTATTTTAATTACATCACAACATCGATGCTGCAAAGGAAGCTTATGAAATTGAAAATAGTCACATAAAGCTTTCACCGGAAGTTCATCATTAGCTGAAAAACACTGTATAGACCATATTGGGGTAATGTTGGTTTTATATTCGCACATTCATTCATTTTACTGTCTCTATATTGTTTACCACGCTAAATTAACAATTCGGTCGTAATTGGTAAGTATGACTTTAAAACTACATAAGTACTATCTAATTAATTGTAAACAATGCTGTACTTTGATAGCCACTGGCTGCTAATATGATTTCGCTGTTTAGAATTTGCAAATACTTTTCTGTAATTATATTATTAAGGAGAAAGTCTGATTATCCGAATATAAAACCAACTTTACTTTTATCTAGTCCATTATTGCGTTTATCCAAGGAGTTTTTTTTCAGTGTATAGTCAACATTTTAAGTGGATCAAAGACAAGAATGGTTGTTGTCAAATAACTTTAGGACAACTTTTTTTGTGAAAGTTTTTGATCAAATATCTTCTGAAATATAAATTTTCTTAGCAGATTTGAGTTTTGCTGATATTTATTTCCTGTTCCGTTGTGATGTTGGACGTCCAACAATCTGTTAACAATTTTTTTAATAGTTAGACATCTGTCCGGATTTGGGGTTTTGGTTCTCAGGAACATTTTTATCAACAGGACATCTTGTGGGTCACTCTAACCACAGAGCTGGTAAGGAGACTTCATATTGAAGCAATTAAAAAAGAATCCCCGTGCCACCAAAAACAGAAACTAATCAGGGACTTTGCCTTAAATTTACTCCGGACACAAAATTTCGGAAGTGCTTTTACAGTTCAGAATCAGACCCTGCAGAAAGGACGGATGAGGCCGTAACCTCAACGGTCCCTATGTGAAGCAGTTTGTCAGCTCATGTCTGTATACTGCACACACACACACTCTCTGAGTGGGCCTGAGCTGGTGTGGTGCACTAAATCAGGGCAGCATAGCAGGTGTTTGACTCTCACTCTTGATGATCCTCTTCTCTGGATAGTGCTCTATAAACTCGTCATGCTGCTTTATTTGAGTTGGGTCTAAACAGAAAGCTCATCATTTTGACACGCTGGACAATTGGGCTGCACTGTATAATTATTATAGGACTGACCACACAGTACGATACTGAGATACTGTTCTATGATGCCAGGGTTTAATGCATGCCAGCATTCTTTTTTCTGCTTTCTTTTAATTAAAACCAATCTGTGATTATAAATCGCAGCAATTCAGAGTAGCAGACACTTTTAGTGCTAGATTAATTTTAATGGTACATAACATAAATATTACATAATATGAAATCTATCTATCTATCTATCTATCTATCTATCTATCTATCTATCTATCTATCTATCTATCTGTATACATATTCTACAATTATATATTTATATACAATATATATTCTGTCCCTTTATGATTTTGTCTTAATCTTTGAAATTCAGGAAGTTCTAGTATACTTAATGTTAAAAAATAAATCGATAATAATTTGATTAGATTACATTAAATTACACTTTATTGTCAATAAACTTTTAAGGCAACAACATGCAGTTTAGGTCTAACTAGGAGTGCAAGAGCAGGATACAGGTATAAATTAATATAGAAAAGCTATGGTGATATTTACAGATGGATGTACTATGAACATTATATACAGGTTGAATTGATGAATGTATGTACAGGTTTTGTTAATTAGAAGTATGCGGATATGAACATAATTACTAATGTGTGCACTGGATATGTACAATTCAAGATGAATTAATTTAACAAAGTGCAGTGTATATGTAATCATAATCATTATTATTAATAATATTACTATATTACTTATACTATATTATTATTATGTAATCGAAATCTTAAAAAACACTGAGAACAAAACAAATTTGCCTCTACATTGCATCTTAATCTTTAAGCTTTTCGCATATGCTTGGAAATATATGCGTATTTATATTTCAGTTTAATTTTTGTTTTGAAATTCGCTATCCTTGTGCTATATAACACTTTTTTCCGCTTGTAATTTCAGATTAATCGAAAACAATGAACACGTGCAACTCGTTGTCCATTGTGTTCTGAACGCTGATAATTGTCGGTTGTAATACTGTCATTATTTGCGCTATTGATGAAGGATCCCCGAAGTAGATTGCAAATGTCATTTGAAATACAAATTGCTTGAAATTGGACAATTTTGAGGATGGTGGGATATCTAACAGGTACTGTCAAATGTGGTCGTCAGTCCAGTATCATCCTTGGCATCGTGTTGCCGCCAAATGTCATTTTTTGTCTAATATTCTGGAGTCTTTTCTGATTTCAGTGTATTTTTTGTGATGACGGAATGTAAGTGAATACATACTGGGATTATGACCATTTTGAAGAAGACTGGAGAAAAGACAAGCGCGGAGGCTGAGAAAGAGAGAGAGAAAAAATGACAGGAGGATGTGGAGGTGTGATCCGTGTTCAACGGGGAGTCGCACACCGACGGTACGAGCGGTCTCATTCTGTTCTGCTTCTTGCGAGCTTCTTATTTGTCTCTTTGAGTTCTGTTAGCTTTGTATTTCTCATCTGCAACACTGGTATGATTTTAGCTTGCGTTTTTATCGAATAACAAGACAAAGTGATTGATTTGCTGTGTCGTTTTGCAAATGAAGCTGTCACGTTTCTGGGAAAAAAAAGCTACACGCGAGAAAATATTCCAATCAGTTTACACGAATATTTTATTGTCAGTTATTCCTTGAGTGATTCTAAAAAGGCTGATTTTAGAATGCTGATTCCAAAATGAAGTCATCAAACGGTTTCGCGGATTAATTTCATTACTTGTTCTTACTTATTAGCTTTGCTTATTTAAATAATGTAATCTTAAAGAAGATAAGGCCCATGTTCGTTAAAAATTAATGGCAGACAAAAAATCCATGTAATTGTCAGCTGTATTTAATAAAAAAATAAATAAATAAGGGTGAAACTATTGCATTTACATTTTTCTTTCTTGCTTAAGGTTGTTATTGACAGCCCTAAACATGTGCTGGCTATGTTTTTATTTTATTCCGTTTTAATTAATTTGTTTAACTATTATAAAGTAGACATTATTACGAGTTTATTCAAAACTGAATTTAAACTGAATCTAATTAACCTTATGAGTCCATTGAACTTATATAATATTACTACTAATATTACTAACTGACTTAAAAACAGGTTGCATAACTTAGTTTGATTATGATTTACTTATGATTAACTTACTAATATTAATGACCTAAAAACATTTGCTGTCAGAACTAATTGATCATATCATTTTCTGCAGTGTAGAATTGTGTGGTTTTGTGATATTGTAGCTTTAAGAAGGAAAATGAGGTATACATTTTAATTTCTATAGGTAGTAAACGTGAGGGAAATAAATAGCTATTTATACATTTGCTATTGTTTATCCGTGTTAAATGTAATTTTAACAGATCCAATTATTCAAACACAAATCTGCCAACTTTTTTTTTTTTTTACAAAAAAAAAAAACCTTTCGATACAAACCAAACATTGCAACGTCAACAAAACTCAAACCTGAAAGGAATAAACCAAATAATCGGAGTTTGTTATCAACACCGGCCTGTTTCTCTGATCCTCAAGCGCAGTAATTTAACCCGCGCGCGAGTGATGTGAATCTGCTCAACACTGCAAGTGTTAAATACACAGCTAATTATGCGTATGAAAATTAAACAACAGTGTTATGCTAATTTAGTTGGTTTCAGCTGTGTCTTCAAGCACTCGAGACTAGCATTTTAACCAAATGAATCATCAAAGTAATTCATCTTTGCTTGGAGACACACATTTATACCTGTACTTAATCATATTTGTTAGGTGTTAAATGCTTTGTTCACGGAGCCGTGACCAGCAGAAAATTAGGAGCATGCTATCTTCGTTCACTATTACGAAAGGTTTGCTTTTTATATAACAGCCTTTACTTTTGTTTTTTATTCTGATTTGTTTATTTTAAGAGATGTATTTATAATTAATATAATAGTAATAGTAATAATAATAATATAATTTACTTATAATTACACATATATTGCATAAGAATTACCATTTCCCCTTGGTTATATAATTTAATTTTACTGTTACTTTTCTGATAATTTGTTAATTGATACAGGCCTTACACTGATGGCACTGATATAAAAAAACGAATGTAATTATAAAAAATTTATATATTTTACACTGTTGAGACAAATTTGGTGGTTTCAGCGGAAATGTGTTTGAGCCTCCCAAGTACGGCCTATGCGTCTCGGTCCATTCCCTAAATTTCTACATTAGCATTGCACAATAGAGTCACAGGTTGGTCTTATTTCTTGAGTTTATCAGGTCCGTCGGACCCGACCCTCGGATTACCAATCCGCATCGCTCTTGGAGGGAGTGGACCAATCAGAGAGCACCTTGGATACATATTCATGATTCCCTGATTCAAACCTTTGAGCGAGTTTGTGTGGATCCACAGCATCGTACCTAGACTTTTCACAGAGACAAACTACATTTTCTTATGAATGGAAAGTGAAAAAATCAGTTGAGCTTAAATTGGGATCCATCCTTCACTCAGATCATAGAAGAAAACAAAAAAGCAGGGAGAGAGAGAGAGAGCGAGAGCGAGAGACATGACCATGTCTACAATACCAGAGAGTCTAAACAGCCCAGTCTCAGGAAAGAGCGTGTTCATGGAATTTGGGCCACCAAGTCAGCAAATGTCGCCTTCATCTATGACCCACGGACATTACTCAATGCACTGTTTACACTCCTCCGGACACCCGCAACACGACAGCGCATACAGCCCGGCTCCGTCCTTCCCTAGATCTCTGCCTTATCCATACGTCAACTCGGTCGGTAGCCATTCCTCCAGCCCGTACCTCAGCACCGTGCAGACCTACCCAAACAACTCGGCTTTGGCGCAGACCCGATTGGAGGACCCAGGTAAGAAATGCTTTGGTCTTTTTGCTGGTCGCTGCTTTTGTCGACGCACTACGAGAATGTTGGACTGGAGTAGCCCAGATGTGCTGTTATTAGGCTTGGTAATTATTTATTGCGTAATGCTATAAACAATGTATGCAATTAAGGCTAATTATACCTAAAGTGCCGCCTGTAAAACTTGTGCACAGTGATGTGAGCCGCACTGCATGAGCAGTCTGTGAGACAGTTTCTCCTTTTCTTTCTCCCTCCCAGCACCGGAGTCAGAGAAAAACACCGTGGTGGAAGGAGGAGAGGTTCGTTTCAACGGGAAAGGCAAAAAGATCCGCAAGCCCCGGACCATATACTCCAGTCTCCAGCTGCAGGCTCTGAACAGGCGGTTCCAGCAAACCCAGTATCTGGCTCTGCCAGAGAGAGCCGAGCTCGCCGCATCACTGGGGCTCACGCAAACACAGGCATGTGCTCAGCTTTTACTCGTTTTCAGGGAAGCAATAGAGGCTACATACATGTCGCTTTTACAATTTAAGAAATATTGGGTATTTTTATATTGGCATTCTCTTTTTGAAGTGTAGGCTAGTGCACTTTTTCTCTCTATAAAGGCCTGCTGTCAAGGGTATTATTTGTTGGTCACACTTTACTATAAGGTTTCATTGAGAGTAACGTATTTACTAACATGAACTAATAATGAACTACATGTACTAAATTTATTATCCATAGTTCAACACTTACTAATGCATTATTAAAATGACAAACTCATGCTTGTTAATATTAGTTAATACATCATAACAAGAAACCAACAACGAACAACTTTATTGCCAGTTATAAACTTGAATAAACACTGTATTTAATGTATTATTTATTGTTTGTTTAGTACATACTAACACTGACTATTGTGAATTGTTACCCATTTGTCTGAGAGAACGCAGAAGTAAGTGAACGATGCTTTATTCAACGTGAATCAGATATCGTCTCTCATTCTCTGAACTCGTTTTTCCTTTTCCAGGTGAAGATCTGGTTTCAGAACAAACGCTCCAAGTTTAAGAAACTGATGAAGCAGGGTGGAGGAACAATAGACACGAACGCTTTGGCTAACGGGCGCGGACTGTCCACCGGATCTCCATCCGTGGCGCCCGTCTGGAACACAACAGCCACCGTCAAAACGTCCACACCGACCTCTTATATTCCCAGTTACACCTCATGGTATCCCACAGCACACCAGGACACTATGCAGCAGCCACAGCTCATGTGAACCAGGACTGCTGAAACAACCCCGCCCCTCTGTCCACCAATGGCCCAGTTCAGGGGACCCGACACAGGCAGTCACTCTGCGGCCTTACACACCCTGGCCCTTCGCAGCCCAGACCAGATGTGATCCGGAGACACTCTCTCTCTCTTTTTCACACAAAAAGACACCTGCTGACACACACTGTCCAGCGGGGACTGAACCAGGGTCGTCCGGTCGCACCGGAGAAGAAACACGTCTCTTTTTTGAATTGAAGGGAATGGCGGGAAAGTGGGTCAAATCAAAGCTGCTACTCTGCCCTTTCCGTGACTCTTTTTGTTGTTGTGTAAAAAAAAAAAAAAAATCATGAGACTAGTCACTAATGTATTTCGTTTTCTTCAAATTTGTTGTTTTCCATATGAAATTTGGAGTTACCGGGTTGAACATTACACCAAACTGCGCATTTCTTTCCAAGAAGTGGCTAAAATACAGTCGCTTCAGGCTTATTCAGCGTGTAAAGACTGGGATAAATCACACCGTGAGCAAGTCTCCTGATTTTCCCCATTTTAAAGGGAAGAAAGACATCTTTAAACAAGATTATTTTGTATGTACGGCGTTTTTTTGTGTTTATTTAAATATAACTTATTTAGATTATGTTTTTGTTTTGATTATATGTTTGTATGTTTTATTTAAAAAAAAATAAATGTTCTTTAAATTATGATGTGAGGCTGCACTATAAAACAGAAACACTTCCCTCGGATTTGAACCTAGTTTGTAAACCCGAGTGTTTTACTTTATTGGATCACACAAAGAGGAGATAACCGCGTCTATCATCAGCGCTGGATGGGAAGTGTTGACAGCTCTTAAATGTACAGAAATAGTCGTTTTCGTTGTGTGCTGAATAATTTGTGCAAAAGGATCTAAACATGGTTGTGTTTAATTAAAATTCATGTGTTTTTTTCCGTTTTACATTGAAAAGAAATCATAGTTTTATAGCCTACCGGTCATATTAATTTATTGTTTTTGTTTCATGGAGTCTTGTATAATGTGTAAACACGAACAGTAAAAATCTGCTTATAAAAGAAGTTACAAAATGTCATCGCAACTTTTATTGCTTTGAAAAATGAACCAAATTCAGGTAACCGAACAAAATACCAACAATTAATAACAAATTAAACCTATGCTGTGTATTGAAAGTCAAATTAACAGACCTATAAACAATATTTAGCCGTGTTTCTCACATTTCAATCATGACCAAACGCATTTAGATAACAACAACAATAACAACAGCCTTATAAACAATAACTAATTTCTGTCTGCTTCTAAATGACACGTCCAGTTTTGCACTGCAATCCGAGCCAGCGATTAATCTTGCGGTGGTTTCTGTAACACCAACCCTAACACAGTAATTCCTCCGACAATAAGGGCACTTGTTTCTTTTCACTTTCGTTTAGCCGCTATAAGCTCTTTTCTGCTCTTGTGTGGTTGCTTTTGATGGCCGTGTGTTAAGTGAATAATCGGGCAGGTGCCGCTCATGGAGGGGCAGATGAAGAAAGACTGGGGCTGTAAGGGGGGGGAGGAAATGCAGATAGGTAAAGAATGACATGTTCAAAAGAGCCTTTTGTTTGGGGGCTGATGGTTTAACTGCGCATTTTAAGAAAAATTCTGATGCAGATAGATGCCGGCAAGTAACAATACAAAGGACATTTCTTGTAATTTCCAGATAAGCTTTTGTTGCTTGCTGGGTCTTTACATTGTAATCTGTTCACTTGATATAGGCTATATCTTGCTTGTTTATTATCATCATTATTATATGTATTATTATTGATATTACCATCATCATCTTCATTATTATTATTATTATTTGATTTTAGTTGTTTTATCAAATGAAAGACACTGAAAACAAAATGTTGTGTTTCACACAATTCATTTATTAAGTTAACTTAATTGATTTTACAAATTCAAGTAGATTGACATTAAAGCAATTAAGTTGTCCCAAAAAAACCTCAAGTATAGTGTTGATTCAGCTGATTTTAAATAAGTAGTTTAAACAAGCAGCAAAAATATATTTTTTTTAATGAATCTTAGTTATTTATGGTGCTAAAAAATATGATTCTACATCATCCTAAAATTTACAGGAAGGAGCCAAATTAATATATTAGAAATACTTGGAATTAGTTTTACAATACATCTGCTGATTGAGTACATCGAGAGTTGTCACGATTGGAAAAGTTGCTGGGGGGTGCAGCAATTATTGTGACAAATTTTGACGCTCTACATGTGTGGTCTTAAAAACGGCCTGGGCTGCGTTTCCCGATAACGATTGATCTTAGCACTTAAGAGCGTTTTCTACGAGTCATTTTGCGAACGTTCGTTATTGTTTCACGTGCGTTTCCCAAAAATGCACTTAACACAATTGCACGTAGCCCAGCTTTAAGTGCAACTTAGGAGTCGCTATCCGTTTGTTAAGTGCTGAAATGTCACGCTATAGAATGGCTCGTTATTGTTGCACATGTTATAGCAATCCATATAATTCTTCTTCTACTTGTGTGAATGTATATTCAACTCGAATAACATAAAAAAAAATATATTTTTGAGCCAGTTTAAAAACATAAATTAACTGGAAATGTCGTACTGTAAAAACACTGTCTTGCTCCAATCTCGCATAAAACTAATTCTAACAGTCCTTGCCGGAAATGACATCAGCATCATTTTCGCTTATCTCACATCAAAATAAATAAATAAGTAAATAAATAAATAAATAAATAAGCTCTTACATTTATTTTTGAAAAGTTTAGCCTAATTATCCCCACCTGATGTGCATTTGCTAATAGGACAAAAATATAGCCTACTACCCTCGAAATGTCCATATACAACAGTGTAATTTTTTTTTTTCATTCTAACATTTATTATGTAATTTTTATTTTTTTCTTTATTCTTTATTATTTGTATATTGAATTGTGTAATGTGTAGAAAATATAAATGAATAGAGATATACGTACAAATAAAATGAATAATGACTTTGAAGAGAAGTAAATTGTAGGTGCAATTTGCCGGTTGTCCAGCAGGTGCCCTCATAACTCTGTCTCCTTACGATGCACTTAAGGCTTTACGATTACTCCAGAGCACTCGTAGATCCACTAAGATTTTCAAGTGCTACTTAAGTTACGATGCTTTTGGGAAACAGACCGTAATATTAAGATCAGTCGTACGATCATTTCTACGAACTTCTTAGGCTTACGATGCTTTTGGGAAACGCAGCCCTGGTCAAAGCAGGAAATGGCCAAGCAATCTCTGAACACAAGCTCAATGCTGCAGCAGCTCTTTCTCTGACTTCATTATTCATCAATAGTTCCAAAATTTAATAGATAATACACTGAAAAAAATATTCAAAGATGATTCCTTGGATTTACTAAATTTTTTTAAGTGGCTGTAAACAATTTATTTGGGCTGAATTTAAACAAACAAATTAAGTTGAACATTACTAAATGTAATTTGTTTGTTTAAATTCAACACACAACTTGTTTGCAACAATTTTGCAGACAATTTCTTTTCAGTTCACTTTAGACAAAATATATTTTTATTAGAAAATATAATAATAATAACAATTATTATTATTAACATTTGTTTCACTGTTATTGTTGTTGTTTATATACACTCAGAAATTACTTTTGATGCTTGTTCAAACTACCTTCTTAAAAACAAATCATCTTAATTTTTGCGGGGGTCAACTGTATTATGTTCAACCAACTTAAATTTTTAAAAACATTTAGGTTAACTTAACCGATTTGTGTTGGGACAACAAGAGGAAATTGTGCGGAACCCTGCATTTTTTACAGTGCAATAAAATATATATTTTTTTAATTATGATTATTATTATTATTATTATTATTATTATTATTATTATTATTATAAATATGATGATTATTATTATTAGTGGTATTAGTAGTAGTATCGTTGCGTTTCCTGTGCAATTATTTGCCGTAATTACCGTGTTATATCACGTCATACTTGTCTTAATGTTTATTTAATCGCGTTATGCTTTTGATGCCGTGCCAATTTTTAGGCAACTGATTTCAACAGTAAATTGTATTCATCAGTTTATTTCCTCAAGAGGATTTCTACTTTTCAGAAAACGGAAAAATCATGTTTAATTTTTTTGTTGTAAATAAATTGACTTATAAACGTTTAAATTAATCTCTATTGCACGTCCGATTAGTTAAAATATATTAATGCAAAGTATATAAAAAATATATACATAAAACAGGACTCTTGGGAAGGAATAAAAGAAGAAGCCGTGTTGTTCTGTCTCTTTCTCCGACATGCAGCTGTGGAGCAGAGAGGGTCAGCGTTATTTCACTCTATTCTCCTCTTGATTACGCGCCGGGCCCATCAAACCAGACATAATTACAGTCATTCCCTCCTTACTTATTCTAATGCAGCTTCCCATCTACGGGATAATTATGAGCAATTTTTTTTCGCACGTGGAATCTTTTGTTAACAAAAGAGATAGCGCGCTGAAAGAAAATTTGCTGTGCGACGGGGGAAAAAGAAAAGGGGGAAAAAAGAGAGAGCGAAATAGGTGCGCAGCGGTAGTTATAAGTAAGGCTGGCAAATTGCTTGCAGGTGTATACCGAGAGATTTGTCAATGGGAAGAGGGATCAAAATGAGCAAAAGCACAATGTCGGAGTGATGAAGGCAGAGGTGAAATTATAGAACAAGGGCTGCTTTATTTTCTTCTGGATTCTATAGACAAACTATCTCGCAATTTCGGGCAGCTTTATTAATGAGTAAGACGCCGGTCTTATTCAAAGTGAAACGCTGTGCTATATTTTGATTTACCTAAGATTGAACACGCTCACATTTCTAAATTCGTTGAAAGTATTATTCGCTTATAGTAACGACGTTTTTTTGTTATTAATAATGCTATTTGAATAAAGCTGCAGTTGTATTTACATGTTCCGTTGTTGCAGAAAATACATTTGTCCTATAGGCTTGGATACAAAGCGCGACAAATCTTTTTTTTCCCCTTCTAACTAGTTCCCAATACGCATAATATCATATCCAGATCCATCCCAAATAAGTTAACAAAATGCATGTAAAATAAACGCGCATCCTTCTTACCTTAATCTGTGATAAACACAAAGATTGGCATCGGCTATTCTATGCATCACTCCCGGGGGAAATAGACGAATGCGAAAAGAGCATCCAGCAGTCAAGGCATTGGTTCGGCTCTTTGGGTCCCAGAATCTGCCTCCTCTAGCTGGGCTCAGAGGAGCTGACAGACGCTCTCCGAGCAGGAATGAAAAATCCTGCTTTATTTTCCCTCTTTATAGCTGATGGAAAAAATTGCTGATTATTAGCATAAATGTTTACTCCTCATTACGCTGATGACATTGTGCACTCGAGATCTTGGTAATCTTTGGGAAAATTATGAGTAATTTTTAAAAATTTAAAGCAGCAGTTACCATGCAATTCAGGCTAATTTTGCGTAGGCTCCAAACGGATATAATTATCGCGGAGTCAAGATGTTATGCTAAAAACTATGCATTGATATTACCATTTATTATGTACATACAACTTTGACAATGTTGATGCTTGAAATAGCTGGAAATTGTCTTGCGCAAAAATTACAGTCCATATTAGGACATCTAAAATTGCGAAGAATTATATAGTAATTGCAGGCTTTCAGATCGGGGAGCCAGAATGCTCAACTGGAGCAATTGTGGATAAAATTACAGATCAGAGTATAAATTAGGGATGGGGTATGGCATTTTTCAAGTTGTCTACAGGATTCCGGAAGTGTCTAAAACCACATCATTGCTAATCTTTCAGAGAGAAAGGCATGCGGAGCATGTGCTTGCAGACAGCTTCAATACACTTTAACATTCGTTTGCATTTGCAAGGTGTGACACTTGTCCATGTCGAGCCATGCACCATAGTTGAAAGATCCAATCAATGTTAACACGGATTACGGCCATTTTTTCACCACATATAGATTATATGAGACAGCAAAAACACATGCTGACAGAGAGGCAACAAAAATACATTAAAATAACAATAATAAAAAAATATATATATATTTGGTGCATGT